ATATATAAAACTAAACCATGCCCCAGAGAGATTAAATGACAGCACAAGGTCTACCAGTTAATTTATAGCAGAGCAAAGACTAGAGGATAGATTTTCAGATTCTCAAATCTATCCACAGAATATTTCCCAACACCATGTATATTCAAAAGTATATAACACTGTCTCAACAGTTATACCAGAAAAAGAGATGTTACCATATTTTCAACTACAGCAACATCATTGCAATAAGTTGACAATGTCATGAACAGCATTAACTTGAATGGGTATATTTAAGAATTTTTAAGATAGAATCATATTACTTTAGAAATATCTCATAATGTCTCTCACCAAACTAAAGTTTTTAAATACAGTGCTTTTACTTAGAATAGAAATTAACTAATTCAAGAAAAAATACAGTCTTATCATAAACTCATAAACCAAACCTTGATCATTCTTCTGCCTCCTTTATATTTTCTGTCGCTTGGGCTCTACTTTATCCCCTTGTTGACAGCTGCAGTCTTAATGTGCATCTTTGAGAAAATAGGTGCTTTTTGGTTCAAACCACTTTTATCTTTGGCTTATTAGAAGCATCCATATATCATAGCCTGGAGAAAGAAGATAAAATAGGGCATCTTTCTTGCATATAAATCATGGCTTGTAGATCATTGCTGTTAATTAAAAATCCTTGCAAGGCTAAATTCAACATGATGGAAGCTTAGGACATCCTTGCTAAAGGACAAACCTGGAAGGAAAAGTATTTTCAAATTTCCATGAGAAAGAAAGTAGGATTGGGTCATTATGGATCCCAGCTCTGGAGATAGGGTTAAAATTTCTTATACCTATTATACTACCCCATAATTGGTTGCTGATCGAATGTGAACACACTAATTCCTTACTGTAATTGGGTTACTTTTCTGGTTTTGTGATGTTTGTTGTTTCAATATTGTCAAGCAACGTAAAAATGTTAGTACTAACTGGAGATAAGAAATATACAGCCTTGATCATATAATGTGTGATTTTCACAAGGTCAGAAAATATAAGCAGGATTTTCACCATGCCATTTCAGTGACATATTCAAAAAAGAGGCCCATTAGCCTTGAGTTTGGTTTGCATGGTTATTTGATACCCTTAATGCATAAGGGAGAATGGTTAGTGTAGGAGACTTTTCAAGGTATGAACGGATATTTATTTTAGGGTTGTAATTACTTATGCTCCTGGTCGGTGCCAGTCAGGTCAATAGGATTATATTCCAGAAATTGATTTTTCCCCCAATGAGTAAATAATGAAGTAATTTAACCTCATCTGCTTCCTAATCTAAAACCTTTCACTTGTACTGGGAGGAAAGGCAGCTGCCTTTGCTTGAGATGTGCTTGTGCACAAGGCCAATAAATACCTTTGGGTTTTATATGAAGGTCATGCAAAGCTGATCAGTCAGTAAATGTGTACAGTTGAAGTGCATCTTCTGTTTCTTGCAGCCATCAATCCTGGCTTTCAGAGATGTCTCCACCTGTGTTAAAGGGCAAACACAATACTGCATTAATCATGGACATGGCTGTTGCCCTGAGGATTTCTCTTCCATTTATTTTAATTTAAGTGTTTATTCAGATACCAGCATGGAAAGAAAACAGCACTTAGCTGAAAATGAAAATAAAAAGGCAGATGGAAAGTAGTGATTGTTCAGTTTATGAATTATTTGGACTTGCGTTATACTGTGCCTGTTATTTTATTATTGCACAAGCTGTGGTTTTTGAAGGAAGCCAACATACCTGGAAATCACAATTAGACTTAAAACTGTACTCTACGGTCATAGATAAAATCACCCAGTGGTCAAAGTAGTCCTGTTTTCTTTCTTTGTGATTCATGTAGCTAATAATGATGGTATACAACATGAACGTACATTTACTGTATGCCAGGCAGGGCACTAAGACTTTAGTTGCTTTATCTCATTTTATCCTTTTAGAATCAGGAGCCCAGCAAGCAGAGGTTTCAGACACTAAGGTCAGGCCACTAGATTCCCAAAATCCAGGCAATTGGCCACTGGTCTTCAGTGCTTCCTATACCCACAGTTATGGTTTAGCAACAAAAATCATTGTCCTCCAGGTCATGCACTTGCTGGTTATGCTTCCTATGTACAGTATAGGATTATATCAGAGAGGATTCCCTGGGGAGTTTCACATTCATCTGAAAAAAATAAAAGGTAAAAGAGCTGAAATACATCATAAAAAGTAATAACTTGGGGCTGGGGTTGTGGCTCAGTGGTCAAGTGCTCGTCTAGCACATGCAGGGCACTGGGTTCGTTCCTCAGCACTACATGAAAATAAAATAATGGCATTGTGTCCAACTACAACCAAAAACAAAATATTTTAAAAATTAATAACTTAATTGAAAGTTATGTTTCCTTTTTTCCCTGATGTTTTATAAGTTGACGCTTTCTTCCTTATTTGGTAAAATTGAGAACTTTGATGCAATTTTGTTTACTTTATCACATTATTTTTAGCTTTCTGTGATTGTTTTTGAAAGATGTTTGGGATTATTAAATATAAAAAATAAGTAAAATCTGTATTTTCTGGCAAACAACCTTTTTAATATACAGAGTTGAGATTTTAGTGACTTACAATAGGAAAATGTAAATTCTGATAAAGGCTATGTGTACAAATGATTTTAACAAAAATATTACCTCATTTATTCCCAAACATTTATTGAATTCCCACTGTTTACCAGATTATGTGCTAAGCACTAGATAAAACCTATAAGATCTCAGTAAATGGCCCTTCTCTCCTGATCCCAGAAACCCTTAGACTTCCCCCAAGCTATATATTGTCTGATTTTTTATTTCCTACTAGACACCATGAGGCAAGCAACTGGGGAAAGCGAGGGACTGATCTCTATTTTTGTAGTAAGTGGCATTATAGTTAAAAGTCAGCCTAAGCTTCCAAGTTCCCATCTAGGAAATTATCTCAAACAAAATTGCATTGGAAGACATTGATTAACTGGATGAGTTCTGTGGAAGGAATAGGGTACCTATTGGGAAAGGAGACAAGGGATGACCATTCATCTTCCAGCATAAGAGAAGAATTCAAGAAAGCTAAAATGACCAAAGCTATGTTTCATTTTTAGTTTTTCTATGCAGTTAATTTTCCTGGCAAAAATACTTGATAATATTAAAGTATTCACAGATTAGAGGATATGGTCTATACAATGTTCACTGGGATATTGCATAAGCAGTCTTTATTTTCTATGACTTCCCATATCTTATTTACCAAGTTCAGGATTCAAGAACACCTTCCCTTTTTACTTCCTTTATATTTATCTAACACATCTAATTCTACTACTGCTTCCTGACCCACTGGACAGTGATTCCTTAAGTCAGTTCTCTCCACTTCACTTCCACAAGTTAAATAACTCCTGTCAACCAGTATAGATTTTGGAGATGTCAGGGGAGGAGTTCTGACTTTAACTGTCCATGAGATTGTATCAGTCCTTTTTGAAACACTGGCCTGGCAGTGTGTGGGTAATGACCCAGTTACAGTATTATTGGATATGGGTTTAACACAAAGCTTTTGAAAGGCATTTAGCAAAGACTAACTCTTTCTGTGAAGCTCAACTGGAAATAAAGCCAAGTTCACTCCTCCCATGGTCTTGTTCACTCCTGGGTCGTTAAACTTTTTGCTGCTCTAAAGGATATCTTTTTACTCCATTCATATGGGCAGCATACCAAAAGTACAGTAGAAAAAGTCACTTTTCTCCATAACTTAGAGCCCTATACTTAAATTCATAGAAGGAAAAGATTTATTGAAACAAGTTGATATGTTGCAGTAAGATGGTTGTCAATCTGATTCCACTCTAGGGGAGATCTAATTGAGTTAACATTATTTGAGCACTTGAAAATGGTAGTGTGAAAATATGCCTTCTTTTTCCTTGAAAGCCAAACGTTGTCTGGAATGCTAGTAGCTCTGTGTTGTCAATTTAGTATCAAGTGTTTTTAAGTTGATTATGGTTTTTAGAAGCCTCCATTCCAAGTGATGGAAGCAATTCCAGATGTGTCAAAGAAGTGGTTTTAATTCAATTCCTTTATAGAAAATGGAGCACAGAGACTTTAAAAGTTTTGATTCTTCCACAGAGAAATCAAGAATAGAATTTATGCTCTTATCTATAGAAAACAGGTGATGACCTTGACTTTCCTAGACTGTTTTTCTCCCGATTTACTGAATTGTCCATGTCTTCATTTCATCTTATATAGAGGAAAGACCTCAAAAGTTCAATATTTTTGTATATTTGCATTTGTTCTGATGATATCATTCATATGGAAGGGAGAGGGAAGATGAAGAGAAAATGGGACATGGATCAGGACTACACTTATAGCTTTACTCCAGGGCCTTGTATGCCTATTCAGCATATGCACTGCACAAAGTCACCAAGCCCAGCTGGTGAGGGAGATGAAATCCAGCCTGTATTCCTCTTGTCAAGTCATATACCTCTCATGGAATTATATTTCACCAGAGATATAGGTAACTTTTTTCTCCACAACAAGGCAACTATAGTTTGTCAGATGCCACTGGGATTGCTTTAGATAAGAGGGATGCCTTGTTCAAATCAACATGGAAGTACCCTAAGGACTAGCGAAATCTGACCTAGATTATAAACACCAGATCACCAACCCTACTGTCTAATAGGTTACAACCCACTTGAAACCCCAGTTAATACATACATAAGCTCCTGTCTTAAGTAAGGTTCCTTAGAGGCAGAGTCCAAGACCAAGACTCTTGTTCAAGTGTACAATGCTCTACTGTCTGTACCTAGGATTCAGGGATTGCCCAGGACATAGGATCTTTAGTGCTAAATCGAGGAAAGTCTTGGGCAAACCTGGACAATTTGGTCACCTTCAAAGAGATATATGGAGGGGGCATCTTCAGGAAAAGAGAAGTGAAGGTAGAAGAATGGGCAGGATTAAAAATCTATGCAAGAAAGAAGTCTCAGCTGGAGACTTGTTTCAACCTGGTTCGTGGGAAAATATAAGACTTGAATTGGCTTGTCCACGTTAAAATAAAAGAGATACTTTTGTATCCTGTTGTCAGCCACTCATTAGTTATTGACTGTCTCTGGAGTGGGGTGTTGAGAACATACAACTTCCTGGTGAGGTAGCTCCATTTTGGCAGAGATCAATGATGGTAATTCTAGAGAGAAGCAGGCAGCTCTGGCCCATAAGTAGTCAACACTCTGACAAGCTAAGGGATGAGTGCAGCAGCCTAGTGGAATAAATATGTGTGGGGCCATATATCCACTACCAGCCATTATTTATACCTACACTATTTACCTAACTATGCTCCAGGAGGAGCAGGAGAGGTTAATGTAGCATCCATAAATCCATAACACTTAGTGCCAAAGAAGAAGTCTTTGGAAAGGCAAGAAATTCTTGGGGAGCCAATCAGGGGTAAGAACACCATCCATGAGAGCAAAATCCCCACATTCTTTCATGGAGAAAGCATGGTGATATCAACTCCTCCAGGATCAGAAGTCTAGTCCTTACCTGTTTTATCACCTTTCATTTTCTCTAAGATTGGAAGCCAAAAGGTTCACAATGATCTCCCAAGGTCTTGAAAAACTCTGAAAAAGCATCCTTACCAGTGTTATTATTAATATTATTACCAGTGTTATTGTTATTATTATTCTCAAAGGAATAAAAGCAGCAAAGGGAGTGTTTGGAATTTCTCCCAATAAAATTATTGTTCCATATACTATGAATCAAATTGATGAGTTAGCTAATGAGTTAAATACTTGGGCAATAATCATGTGCAAATCTAATGTTTCATTTGATAAC